GTTGTATTGTTATGCCATAATTGTTGTATAATTATGATAAACGGTTTAATTACCCAAGTTTGAAGTTTCCGGCATTGTGAATACTACTTACAAGAAGTTCCGCGTGGCATACACAAAAGCGAGCAGCAAATTCGGACCGAATCATCTTAACTACTTGGTATTCCTATATAATCGAGCCGTCCCACCATAATTTTGGTGCATTGGCCGCTTGAAAGGATCCATCAGGTTAAGGAAGTTACAACCAAGTACGTTGATTCTTCAATCATGTCCAACCTATCACTGGCAAGTCACAAACGGATACTCACGCGGTATACTAACCAATTGCAAAAAGTTCTAACCCGATTCAAAGACGCGCAGTTAGAAGAAATCAGCGTTCAAAACCTGCAAGATGAGGTNATTTTGGTGCATTGGCCGCTTGAAAGGATCCATCAGGTTAAGGAAGTTACAACCAAGTACGTTGATTCTTCAATCATGTCCAACCTATCACTGGCAAGTCACAAACGGATACTCACGCGGTATACTAACCAATTGCAAAAAGTTCTAACCCGATTCAAAGACGCGCAGTTAGAAGAAATCAGCGTTCAAAACCTGCAAGATGAGGTAACGCCCACCGTTATTCAAACATGCCTACAGCAGTTAGAGGAAGCAGTGGCAGCGTTAGAAAACATGACCACAAAGATTCAACACGCTCTAGATGAACTCGCTACCATGTTCGAAAAGTCACACCCAACGTCACCGAATATTGAAGAAGAGTTCGCACAGTACTCAACTACTGCTGAAGAAGCCATTGGCAATACTTTCGAATACCTTGTACTCCTTCATGCTCGGATCCATGGCTTCAAGGCTCATGCTGAGCTTCTCAACACATCCCACAAACACTCCACTACGAATAGTAGTAAAGATGAATCCACCGTCACAGCAGTCGTGAAAAATCTGGAGCTACCCACAATCCCAATCCCAACATTCAATGGCGACATCTGGGACTGGGATAACTTTTGGGAGCTTTTCAACTTAAACGTACAGTCACAAAACCTTTCAGAGCTACAAAAATTCAATTACCTACTTAACTCCTTGAAAGGGGAACCTCTACAATCGATGAAGAA